CCGCTCGCTTCCGTCGATCCCCTTAGACTCGCCTCGAATCGGCTTCGCCGCGATGCTCTATTACGCCGGATATGCAAATCGCGCGAATCCCACATCGGCCGTACTTACGGAAAGAATTAGCCACGGGAGGCTAAAATCTAGCCGTGGCAACTCAAATAGGAACAGCTAATGTCGTTGCGCAATTTATTAGCTGCGGCAGCGACGACATTAGCTATTAGATGAGATGCATTTGCTGCGAGGTACAGATATATTGTTCACTGTAGCGCCTTCATTCAAATAGCTAATAAATTTCGCTACGGTAACAAGGACATTAGCCGTCGGGTATTTTTTAGCTCCTGTGGCTAATTCTTTCTTTGAACGCGACAACGTTCGACGACAGTTTGATTGTTGTAGGCACGAAAATGCGGAAGATGTTTGTCGAGGAACGACAACATTATTTTTATATATCGCATTGCGCGGATACTCACATTATAGAAAGCGCAATTCTGAACTTCTCTCTCACCCTCTGAAATTTTTTTCTCTGTAGAAAATATTTATAGATGCGTGAGCGATAGGAAACTGTAAAGACAAGAACTCGGCTCTTATCCACGACATTATATATTTTCGATCGGATCGGCGAAATCGCTCGGTGACAAACAACGGTTTTGAGGTATGTTCAATAAGCATATTTGTCGAAGATTTAACATGGAACATTCTGAAACTCCGCAAGGTACGCAGAGATCTCGAAAGCTCGCAACGATCTCCGGCCGGCTCGGAACCGACCTCGCTCACGCAGGAAATTAATTAATTGGCTATCGCGGGAAAACAGACGTGCATCGACTTCTCCGAGAATACCGCTCGGCTTAATTGATTTCCTACGCCTACGTGAGTCGGTCGGCGCGGCAGTTCCTCCGACGGCGAGTCCCTCCTCGCGGGGACGATCGATCGGCTATTCCATCGGCATCGCGTTCGCACGGATCGTCGGCGTTCCGCGCCGTCCCGCGGCTGGCTTTCGATTTTTGTCCGCGCCCGTTTAATCGCGAAAAGGGAAATCCTTTTTCGCCGAGCGCGAGCGCCGGCCCCGCTCCGCGATTCTCGCTGCGTACCGGCGCGTTTTTTACACGCTCACACGCGCGCTCGAATAATGGTTTACGCGCGTGTACGTGCATACCCGTGTGTACGGCGTCGTACGATTTAAGAAACCGGATAATTCATGCTACGTACCGCACGACCGTGGAATACGAGATGACGCATTCGACCGCGAAGCAACACACGTATGCGCATCCCACGCTCTCCTCTCTTCCGCGTTATACTTATTGTATTTCCTCAAAAGAGGTCAAAAGAGCGGGTCAATCGGCTCTCCCGGATAAGAACGGGGCGAACAACGCGATTCGCCGATGATCAAATTAATATCCGTCATTTCACGATGGCGTTGCCGACGGCTATTAAACGCGGTGCATTCGTCTTTGTCAAATATAATCGATGTGTTTATCTCGTCATTGAGAGGATCATCTTATTGTACTATTTACGGGGCAATCTCAATTCTCCCCGCTCAATCTTATCTTATACCCCCGGTATATCCTACGAAAGATTCAGTCGTCCATCTTCATCCACTCGTTTTTCATTCGGTCGAATCATCGACGGCTACGACGGTACGCCGGTGCTCGAGGAGAAGTCCCGGCTGGCTTTCAATTTCCCCTCAGTGTTTAACGGTGAAAGGGGAAATTCGTCAGGTACGCCCGCGTGACTGTAAAGCTGCGAGCGGAGTAGCGAAACACCCACGCGAATTCCTAGATCCACGATTGCGCCGCCTTCGGCGGTGCTTCTCGGCTCTTCTCGCGCGCGCACTACGCGTGTTCGTTTCTTTGTTCCGGGGCTGCGTACACGGCAATAATTCCCGGTAACAGCGGACGTTTAGGGCTCGCTTTTGTGCAATCCGGCAAGTGGAAAGCGGCAGACCGCGCTTGATTTCCGGCCGCTGTCATATCGCGTCTCTCGAGATTTCGCAATGCATTATTTTCGCGCATACATTAAATTGATTCAAAGGTTTCTCTTCTCATGAACACTGAACAAGTGTTAACATGCACAAAAGATTTGTCATTAATACGCTAATAATTGAAATGTGTATTTTGTGAAAAAAAATCTCCTAACCTATACATGTATTATATTTAAGACAGATCTCGTATTTTCGCGTAAAAGGTTACTTCTACGTCTCGACTAACGACTTGCAGTTTGTTTTTTCTACCGAAATATCACGTCACCGTAATATCGTGCGTTCGATGTGTTATGTAACTCATAAAATGCGACGAACGCGCTATGAGCACGTAGACCCGACGAACTTGATACGTCCATCGAGCCGGAGAATCGAAAAATCTAACGCGATATTGGTCACTTCCTTCGACCTTAACCTTAAACCATTTACGTCTCAATTGTGACAAACTCGTCGCGGAGGAATAGAGCGGTACGATAAAGGAAGCGTTGCGACGTGGAGCACAAAGAACGTTCTTTTCACAGGGAAACGAACGGGACGGCCGGTCAGTCGCATTAGAATATACATATATGATATACATATATATATATATATATACACATATATACATATATATACATATATATACATATATATATATATACATACATATATATGATATATATATATATATATATAAGATGTAAAAAAAGCGAGCACGAAAGTCGCGGGCGTGGGAAAGCCGGCCCTCGGGCGAGCCACCAATTAACACCAATTAGTGCTCATCTGCTCTAGGTACTGCCGGCGAGCTGACTTTACGTTTAGCGCGAGACGTCTGACTCGTCGCGGATTGACCACAACATGTTCTTTGTGCCGTGAAGACTGCATCATCGCGGTATATCGTTCTTGCCGCAACGCGAGACGAAAAGAAAACACGCGTCGCTCTTTCGCAATTTCGATACAGGCTCCGATCTCGGTTTCAGCCGGATTTTAACGCTCGCAAATCGCGGAAGTTTTCGCGAATCCCCGAACCGATCGAAGTATACCGCAGTTCACGCGCACGATTAAAAACGAGTACACAAAAGCGGGGGAGGAATCGGCAGGAAACAGCAAATCGACACTCGCGTGAGAAGCGGATATTCCGCCAACGGGACGTCATTCTGTCTCGATCCGCGTCTCTCGCCGAAAGTTTCGTCAATCGCGGTATGTAACTTGCTTCCTGCGAGAAACATATTTCTAACCGAAGAGTGCGGCAGGTGAGAAGCCGTGCGAAACAATTCCACGTAAAAATATATCAATATTCATAGCACGTTACCTAATAAAATCTCGATGAAATCAGCGATAACTACCACTCAGTACTGTGCGACATCTCTAATTGATACTTGCGAATGTTATATCCGTGTGTCATTGATAGGAATACGAATATCGGTTAGGCGCATATCGCATTTGCGAATATCAATTGGAAATATTCACAAATCTGGTAATAATGATCACTAATTCGAGAAACTCGCGTTGAACGGGAAAATCCGATCCCGAACTTTCCCCACTTTCGTATCTCGATACGCGCAAAGCACTTCCGCGGATAGACCCTTTTTTTTCGACCGGATAGGCGAGATCGAATACCGAAGCCGCGGCTCTCTCGCGGAGTCCGTTCACGCTCATTGTCTAATTCCGAGGATCGTCAAGTTCATTATACCGGCGCGAGCGCGCACGCGAGACGCCGATGCGCGCCGCTGGCTGATCTTTTTTTCGCGGGACCGGTTCCATCAGGAACACTTCCAGCTTTCTACCATCGCCGACTCCCGTGTTGTAACCCCGTCGGGTGCCAGCGCACGGCTACACACCGAGCGGACAGCCGCGTCTTCCTCCGCGGCCGATGCGCGCCATTCGAATTTATTTATTGCATTAGCCTGCCGCGTCACTCACGGCTCTTGATTGGTGGTACCCAGATCGGGTTCCTCTCCCTCGCGAACGACCGGGACGCAACGCGATGGCGGAGATACGTCGGCCGTATGAAGGACGAGACCGCACCGGCGATCCTCCGTGCAAACTGCTGTAATTATCCCGATCTACGGCCGATTCTGCGCGCATTGTCGCCGCGCGGACATTACGAATGGATCGGAGTGCAATGCTCGTCGCGACTCGCGCGAATATCGAACTCCTGCCCACGATGTTGCGTCTCTCTCTTACTCTCTGCCTTTCGTCGAGTTCAGGGGTTGAGCGCGTGCATGAATCACGCCGCAATTTGAGGAAACGATAATTTACGCGACGCGTCCCCTGCAGAAGTAAATGAGGAAAGCGAGGGAGGCGCGGCATGTTGCGACGTTCGTCTTGTTTCCCATTATCGGATTTATCGCGTCGGAATCGACGCGGATGTTTACCCGTGCCGTTTACAGCGGAAGTTGTTCTCCGCTGAGCAGTTCTGCACGACGGATGCGCTTTCGTGTTACTCTCCCGGTTACATAAGCGTCTGAAATTGGTAACCCTACACTATCGTATAATTTAAACCGCCCCGAAAGGTCAGCAGACGCTGTATAAGTTTGCAAAAGCACCAGCTCTCCGAGGGTCCCACTTAGGGCCATACCCGGCAAGGAATTATTCAAGCTGGGCAAGGGTTAATTACTGCCTTCATCAAACCACCTCCCTTCCTCTTTCAAACGAGCCCTTGTCGCCCATGACATCACCGTTCTGTATTTAATCCGACTCCGTTGCGTCACGGAGATGTCGGGTCGCGAAAACGATCCGGAATGTTCCCGCCGGTGATTCCATTTCGGTCTTGATTTAATGCGCCACGTGTATACACGTACATTACATATCCTTGGTATGAATATTTGTTCGAATAATTATTCTCTACTACTGATTAGAAGTAAAATTCATTGAGGAGAATACGAGGCTTGGAGCGGCGGAACAACATTCAAGCTTTACGTAACGCGTCGTACTTTCCCCTGCAGATTATCGTTTAATGAATTTATTATATGAATTTGTTATAACAAAGTGGTCATATCTCACGGTGATCGTTGAAAGGTCATTTTGGAAATATCTCTCGTTGCAGAGGCAATTCACGTTGATCCTGCAAGCGAGGGACGTACCGAGCGCCGGCGTGATCGAGGAAACGAGTTACAGCGGCATCGTCCTGCCCGAGTCCACGTGGCACACCCTCAATCATCAAGGTAGAAACGCTCACTTAGCGTACCGGATACGTGTCCAGTGCGACGAGCATTACTACAACGCTACCTGCACCAAGTTCTGCCGGAGTAGAGACGACGTTTTCGGTCATTACAACTGCAGCGAAGACGGCGACAAAGTGTGCAATGACGGATGGACGGGCAACGAGTGCAACACGGGTGAGTCTAAGTTCGATTCTCACGATTATGATCGCACAATTATTTTATCACTGTTGATATAACAAACAAATAATAGTAGCAATATTCATATTAAAAAAAGAAATATTACATTCAAGTAATATTTACTTAATCCAAGTAAAATGATTATTCCAACATTAACTGATTAATAAATATTTACTTGAATGTAGCACTTTTTTTTAGTACATATATGCATATTATCATCATAACACTATGATAACACTCGCTGCAAAAATGATCTTCCCGACTATAATACTTATCATTCCTTTTCTGTGCGATTATAGTTACAAATACCGAACACTTTTTTCTCAGTATGCGGACAATTTTTTGTCACGTACCCCGCACAAACGGTAATCCTTTTCCGAATTACTATGCGAGAATGTGTTATGGGCTATTCGAGAAGTCGCAGTAGCACCGTCGCAGAGAAACCCTTAACATATTTCAATATTAGTGGCCCCAGGTGCGCATCGACTTAGAATGAATTATCGCCGATTAATTCCGAGTTACCGCCACCACAGCGCGTAACCACGAGCGCTGTTAATTATAACCCGGCGTAACATGCGTGTAAAAAAGAAATCCGCACGAAATCCATACTCCCCGACGCTCCCGCTCCCTCATTCTCCTATAGAAAGAGTGACTCACGAATAAATTGCTTTCATCGAAACGAACGTTACGTCACACGAGCACACACACACACACACACCTTTTGTATATTACCGTATCGTGATTTTTTAACCAACGCACACTTTAATTCCATTATACGAGCGACAACTCCGCCTGCTCCTTCTTTCTCTTCTGACGAAGAAAGAACTTACAAGGAGCAAATTCTCATTGGATACAGGATGCGTCGGGGAACTCGTCGAGGTGTCGCAGCTTCTTTCTCATTGACCGCGTGCAATGAAAAGCCTGATCAGGAGAATTCGCTCGGTTAACGAACTCGCCCATGGAGTTTCCTTATCCAGAAGGACTTGTTCAAGACAAGCTTATCGCGACGCAAGCCGCTCGCGTCGGCGTTCCTCCCGTCATTGTTATCATCTCGTTACACGCGTCGGTAAAAACGGCGCACGAACAAGAACGATATCGTCGATATCGATCGCGGAAGAACTCGCGTCTATTTTGCCACCGCCCGGGGAATAACCAACCCGATCGTCCGTTGGAGCGTGAAATCTCGCGATCGGGTGCGCGTACATACCGCCGCCCATGGATGTCGTTTAACTCGATTTCTCACGGGACGCACGCACCTCCGGGCCTAACGAGGCCTCGCGATTCGATTACCGGACCATTAATAATCGCTGTCGTCCGCCGCGAGACGCCCGATAATTTCCAAAGGGAGGAACAAAAAAATCCGGTTCGCCGACGCGAACGAGCTTTATCTTGCGCCTTACTTTCGAAACGGCCGGCCGTGCGAAATACCCGCGATCGGCGTCGTCGACGATTTATATTTCTTTCATCTCAGTTTCGCTAATTATAGCGTTCCCGTTCCGCTCTCTTCTGCAATAAGATATTCACAGATCGATATCGAAAAGTCCTTACGTAAGTTGTACTATTCTACGTGGAGGAAATAGATATTCGGTTGAATTAAACTGACAATAAAATAATTATAATAATAATCTTGACAATAAACGAACTAAACGCGTCTCGGCGTTACTTCGACGCGGCTGTGACTCTCCGGATTGATTTAACAAAATTTTGCCTCCATGTAGGATGTATAAATGTATTTTCGATGGAAAGCTTTAAGGCAATATAAAACTTCGTGTGTAAAGACGACTTCAAGTTCAACACCGATCTGTGTGTACGGAAAAAGCTGTGTGTATATTTGATTTGACAGAAATATATCTGATATATTTCGCGCGGCGCACCGGTTTCGAAGATAAACACCGAGCGCGGAAATAAACGGCGACTCGAGAGGGACGAGCGACAACGGAAGGGTCGAAGGGTCGAACTGCTGCCCACGTTTGCGCGATCCCCATCTCTCTTTTCGCCGTTCCGGATTCTCGTAGCCGCGGGCATTCTGCGAACGATTCCGTCACGTCCGTGATTTAACGCGCAGGAACGCCGTGACGGATCAAAAGATGATCGAGCGCCGCCTCCACCGTCGTCTTTTCTCCGTTGCCTCCGTCGTCGCTCTCTCCGTGGTCCCGTACGGATCGTAAAACACGCGAATTATCTCGAAGCGTGCCTCAATGGGCGGACGTTAGACGCATGTCGTACGATCGCACAAAGGTAGCGACACATCACGCCAGGTCCCGTCGCACAATGCTGCGCCGACTAATATAACAGCTCTTTCTTCGCTGCTTAATCGTTACTTCCGCCTCTCCGTGACCCCGCGTATGGTTACTGTCATCCCTCCCCATCGCGACACTTGGGGCACAATGCGCATAAGGTCGATCTCAAACGGACCGACGGGGGACGCGCGAGGAGGCAGGACCGACCGCGTTCGTCCGGCGATTCGGCCCGTTAGATGGACACGTAAGTTCCACTTTCCGCGCTGACTCTCCGAAGCCGAGAAGATGAATCTCTTTCCCAGCGAGATCTCGCCCTTGGCTTTGACAACCGGCACCGCCGCTACACTTGCTTTCGATTTGGTTTCAACACTTTTCTCAGTGTCTGTTCGGAACAGAGCCGATGTCTAATGGGAGATTTTCGTTTCTGGGAATTATTTGAAAATAAGTTCCATTGAATATCAGCTATGTTCGAGATTACATCGAGAGGAAATGTGTGTGTGTGTGTGTGTGTGTGTATTCAAACCATATTAAAATGGAATCTCACGATTGCCCCTGGAGATTTGCGCTGAAAACCCAGGTCCTAGACAGGAATCCATGTGGATTCCTATATGAATTTTCACGAACCATGTGGATTCCTGTATGGATTTTTATTATCCTATGTGGATTCATATGAGCTTCGTCGGATTTCCGTGGGAACCATTTGGAAATTTCCAACAGGGATGTCAGTGATAACCTTACCGTGTATATTCCTGCTACTATTTGTGCGGTTAGAATCATAAGAAGAGTATAGTTTCTCTAAACAGAACTGACAAAAGAGTTAATCGACGGAGGAAAAAAATGTTAAGCCCTGTCGTGTGGTGAACACTGTGGTGAATAATGAGTAGCTTGCACAAGGTACACACTTCGCATTTCGCAGCCCGCCACGCTCGTGATATTATGCTAGTGGAATTCAAATAACACATCGGCTGCTTCGCGAGGAGGCTCCTCGTTTTCCTTGGCACTGTGAACTTTAAGGTTTTACCGTTTGATAACTGGGCAGCCTCGGTCGTCTCAAAAACGGATTGACGATCCCGTCTTGTCCGCGGCATTAGACGCGTGCGACGACGCGATCGCATCGTCGTGCTTTCCTTCCCGAGCTTAGAAAAATCCGCGATCTCGCCGGGAGGCACGATCGTCCTGACACGAGAAACGTGAAAAAAAAAGAACAAGAAAGTCCTCGCCATTCGACGATGCAGAAAGATCGAGTTATCGAGTTTTGAACACGTTCTACTTAGACGACGGGAAAAATGCGCGAACCCCAATTAGAGAGACTATCGACGGAGATCGCGTGCTCGTGAGGCGATGAGTCGCGCTCGCTTACGAGGAGGAGAGAAAGAGAGAGAGAGAGAGAGAGAGAACTGGCTCCGACATTTTTGTCGCGCTTGTGAAAGGTCAATAGGAGAATTTCACTCGTGCATCCTCTTCACACGATGCGCCAACCTGGTCGCGCGAGAAGGTAAAATCTCTTCAGGCAAATGCGCATACGTACGTATACACGGTAGATGCACACGCGCGCTGGTACTCCTTTAACATCTGGCAGCCGCGAAAGGATCTCGCAGGCGTTCAACGGACGCCTTCGTCGCATAAAATTTGCGCGCAGCTTCGTGAAATTAAGATCGATAAATCGATGCGACGGCAGCCGCAATAATATTATTCCGTTTCCGTCGTGGCTCGAAATAAGTTTTAACGTTAACAACCTTTTTTTTCATTCGCGAGTTTTCACGTTAAAAACCGCGAATGACGTTTGGGAAGTTGCCGCAACGGCGGAAAGTCTACTTGTAAAATCACGAGCGGCAGTGACCGGTCGAATTCCAATCGGAGGGAGATCGAAGCCAGCGTTGACCGAGGGGATCGCGGGAAATTCCGCGTAAAATTAATAACGCATCATATTATTCCCGGGAGAAATTTTCATCTCGCGCATGAGCAATGAAACCATAATTTTACACTCTCGCCGGGGTGGAGGGAGTCACGAAGGCTCGACGCGCGGGTTACCGACGAATCCGGACTTTTCGCGCGGCCGGCGCGACCGCGGAGCGTAAATTTTCCCGGGAAACGCTTCCGCGTCGAATGACGCAACCCCGCCGTAATCGTGTACGCACGCACGCACAAAGTGGAGAGGTCTTTTTACGCGAAAAATCGCAAAACCGCCGTCCCGTCTCTTCGCGCAGCTGTCCCGTCGTCCCGCAAAAAGGATCGCGGGGAGGAGGATGCGGGGG